AACGACCTTCTTGCTGTCAGGTGACAAGGCTAACCACTGAGCCACTGTGCCACCAAAATCCCAAATTCTTTCAATTAATTATTCATTTTTTTTTTGGCTTAATCACTTTATTAATTAGGGGTCGCCACAGCGGAATGAATCACCGACTTATCCAGCATACGTTTTATGCCACGGATGCCCTTCCAGCCACAACCCAGCACTGGGAAACAACATACAATCTTGCAGTCACACACACTCATACACTATGGCCAATTGAGTCCATCCAATTCACCTAAAGCGTATGTCTTTAGACTGTGATAGAAACCGGAGCACCCGGAGGAAACCCACGTGAACATGGGGAAAACATGTAAACTCCACACAGTGAGAAAACTCACCAAGCTGGGACTCAAACCAGTGACCTTCTTGCTGTCAGGTAACAGTGCTAACCACTGAGCCACAGTGCTGCCAAATTACCAACATCAAGTCTGAACAAATGATTTTAAAAAACACAATTATTAAAATTCATTTTCATATTTTTCCACGCGTTGGAAACAAGCAGAACACAATAGCACCAATTCTGTCCATCCTGAAGTAAAGCACATATTTTTAAAGTTAGAGAAAATATCCAAAATATGAATTAGATGCTTTCCCATCAAGTTGTTAGAGTGGCTGACTGTAGTAGTATTGGTCATTTATTAACAAGCATTATACAAGGCAAACATAATGGAGACAGCGGATAAGTCACATTGGTGTGATGTTCACTACATCAGAGTTTATTCAGCAAATGCATTCCCATCTACCATTATTCACATTAAAGTGTAAAACCCCCTAAATCAAACCTAAACAGTTTTTTTTTTTTCAAAAATATTCCCACCCAACTATACCTGACTTCAGTCCACACAAAAACTTCACTCAACAGATGTAAAAGTTTGTTTTGCGAACAGCAGCACCAATTGTACAGTCTATCTCTCTGCTGTGGGTTGCGTATACAGTAAGAGCTCTCAGCGACTATACACATCCTCCTCTGACCTAAAAACAAGGCTCTGGTTGCCCGCAACACGTACAATGACTCGAGAGAGAGAGAGAGAGAGACGTCCCAGATTACGGGTGAGCACTGCAATCACACAGTCCTTCCTCCCCCCAACACTGTCATTCGTTCATCTGGCTCTAGAGGAAAGCCATATGTACAGCAGTTGTGGCATTTGCTTCGATTACTCTGATTTTGCAAGGAGAGACTTTGTGTTTGGAAGCCTCCTGCATCTCTGTGGTAATTGTTCATCTTGTGTGTGTGTGTGTGTGTATGTGTGTGTTTTTTCAGTGCATTTCTTCAGATGTGAGGCCAGGTGCATAGTGGCCAGAGGGGGGCCTGTGGTCAAAATCTTGTCCTGCTCGGTTTGCCTCTGGGCCGCTGGACCAAATCCAGGTGTGACTCCAACATATGAGAAGCAAGAGCCAAGAAAAGAGCCATTTGGAAAATGTGCTGTCTGACTGATCAGCAAAAATGAGAAGTGAGGTGATGTTTTTGTGTCCTTGTAAAGAGGAAAAAATGTACAAAGGCTTTACAAATTGTCTTATTTCTCCCGTACACAAAGAGCTTAAGTACACAAAATGTTTAAAGTGACCCTTTTTAGCCCACACAAATGTAAGATTTATGTGATTTAGGGTTGGAAACTAACAGGGAAACTAATAACAAATTTTATAATAGAAATGTTAGCAGAATATATTCATCATTCAACATTAAAGAAGTTTGTGGGGATTAAATTAGTGGATTAAAGGCATCTTATACAAACAATAACAATTTTTGTCATGGTGTGCGTCTTATGTTTTCATGGACTCTGTAACTTGTTTTACAAGAAAGTCTGCATCTTGATAATATCTTTTATCTTCTTGAGCAAATATCTGATCTTGTAACAGTAACCAAACACTTCCTTATAACCTGACAAATAGAATTCTAATTCAACAACACTGTAAACAAATTAACTGAATATTGTATATGACAACTATAGTGATGTGCCTCCCATATATTAGCAAACAACACATGCCAAATAACTCAAGAACTAAAAATACATACAATAACAAATATGAGCATTTGCTTTAGAATCAATCATTTCTCTAGTTATACTTATGGACATATGGTACATTAGTGCTATAGAGTATCTATCCATGTGCATTACATTGCGTAAACATGTGTATAGGCTATTTGATTTGTTTGATTCTTGTGGATTAAAATGAAACGGAGGATTAAAATTGTCATACCAAATGAATGAAAGCACGAGCCACATGTCCCCTTGGAGAACTACAAGAGCGCAAAGGGAGCGCGTGAACTTGGCACAGCCGGCACGTGCACGCGAACAGAACAAGCGCGCGCGGATATTTGTCCCGCTTTTTCATACACTTCTCTCTCTCTCCCAAATGTCTCTTTAATGAGCGCCTTGGAAAAATGTCAATTTTTCACAATGTGGGTCAAAGCTCAATTGAATTGAGTCCGCTGTTTTTTCTAACGAGTTCCTCTGAGTCACGTTTTCCACCACTTATCGGCTGATTTTAAGATTTTGGACAGGTTTCCCGTCCGTGTGTTATTTTCCCACTCTGTGATTGACAGAGCAAGAAATACAATCCCATGGCACTTCATACTGATGTGGACAGATGAATGCCAAAATAAACTGCCTTATATCCGGCAGAGAATGTCAATCAAATCCAACGAGTGTGTTCATTTTCCCTAATAGAGCCAAACAGCATCTCAGCATCGGGTGCGCGCCTGAACGACCTCAAACAGTGAAACAGCAAAAGACAGGGAAGACCCAAAGCGCAACTGCTGACAGGTACACAGATATGGAGTTCCCAAAATAATTCATTTAACCCGTTCGTGCCTGAATGAATCAGAAGTATTTTATCAAGATGTTTAATCTTTCATGCTCTCTGTAATGTGCTCTTACAAGAATGTCTGCATTTTGTTGATGTTCTCTTTTCTCTTCCTAGGTAAATATCTGGTCTTTCACTTTAGCTTCCAACAACAGACAAACAATTCCTCATTACCCTACGCGACAAATTCAAGTTCAAATTCAAAGATATTATTGAACATCAAGAACTTCTGTTTATCAACCAGTATATGTTACATATGATTATTATAGTGGTGTTCCTTCCATACAGCATGTTAGCAAACAACACATGACAAATAACTCAAGAGCTAAAAAATACATACACAATGAATGCCAGAGATTACACAGATGCAGAAAACATTTCTGCTTATTTAATGTCTAATGAAAAATGGTTCTGATAATAGGTTTTGGTGTACATTATTAATACATTTTTAAAAGATAATCACTGTACACTTTTAAAAATAAAACTGGTTTTCCCAGCGATGCATTTATGGTTCTCCTAAAAAAAACTTTTGGTTAAAGTTATTTTAATATATGAAGAGTTCAGATGCAAAAACCTCTAAATTCCATTTGAACTTTTCTTCTAAAATTAGAATTTTCATCAGGCTCTTATGTTTACTTTCAGTAATTTCACTTTTATGGCAAAAATAAGTAATTTTCATTGCCTTTAAATTGAAATAACTCTTAATAAACAACTGAGGCTGAAAAAATATTTATTTTTGACTGAAATTTCAGACAACACCTTAAGGTTTTTGCATCTGAACTCTTCATATACATTAAAACACTTTTTTTTTTACACTAGAGAACATTTCATGAGATGAAATGTTTCTAAAGATTTGAAATGTTCTTCTTGGAACTATTAGTGCCTGAGCAAATATTTGATAGTTTTTAATGTCAGTAGCCAAAAACTTCCTCATAGTCCTACCTGACAAGTTCTAATTTAAACACATTATTAAATGCAAAGAAATGTTGTCTATCAACCTGTAAATATTAGGTATGAGTAGCTTGAATTCAATTACTGGTCCTTAATAGCAAATGTTTATTAATTTGATGTTGGCAATATATGTAATGTATAATCACTAGACTGATTTCTGTTCATTTCCTCAATGATTCAATAAAGATGTCTCTTGGATCACATTCTTTGGGGTTCTTTGTTTTTGACCACCTATGCCTCTGGCTTGTCACCAAAGAGAAACACTTAAAAAGTGCTAACAAATCATTAAAAAAACATTGCTAAAATTGCCAACTGTGGAAGCTGGTAGAACCAAATGGCATTTAAATGTAAAAATTTAAAATGATTCTTAATAGTGTGGTCTAAAAGGCACTTGGATTTGAAGTTTGAACGAAAAGTTTATTAGGAATGTTACTGAAATCCAATCTTGCTGTTTGCAATAGAACACCTATCCACTGTATGTTTGCTACTTGTGTACATGTTATGTTTACTGAGATCACTCATCGCACTATGATATTTGAACTCATCTATCTTACTAAGATCTCAAAGTATTATCCTAAAGTTCCACTACTGATAAAATTAAAATCATTTAAAAAAAAATTAAATTATATGACTGAACTGGGAACTGATAAGAGTTCAAGCATCTTTGGAGTTATCTTATATATGATGGACTCGACCAAACATGCATTGGCGTCCACACATAACAGACATACAAATCTTTACAAGGTATGTTTACAGGTTATTTATTGATTAAATATTAAGCACGTGGAGTTTATTACTTCATATTAGAATGGCACTGGAATGTGCAGTGTGGAATTACAAAAGCAACGTATCATTTCATTTGATAAGATATTGCTGCGAGTGCTGTCTGGTTTTGCAAACAGCCGTGCGCAAAAAAACACGGACACGTTTGTAGTATGTAATATAAAGTGCCATTTTGTTACGTTTGGATTAAAATCTGTATTTTAAATAGAGAAAACACACGGTGTAGAAATGTCGACGCTATTTCATGTAAACACGAAACGTGCGCGCTTGAGACTGAAGCGCGCTTTGCCACATAAATCCTGCCTGTCAGTGTGGTCTACTCTTCAGTCTCCATGTTACAAAACATCACCCTTAAACAGTTCGTGTTAAAATAAACATCAAGTCGAACGCGAATGCACCTGTGCCAGGCAGATCGCGCGCGCGACTCACCTGCGTTCCGAAGTTTCTTGTTTCTGTAGACGGAGAAAATCACCAGCAGGTTTCCCAAAATATCCACCACTATAGTGAATATGAGGAAACACCCGAGAGTAGTAGTGACCCAGGGCGGCCGCTGAAGTGCTTGCTCGCTAGGGTCCAGTGCAGAGCTGTTCAGAGAACTCCCATTCATAAACATTGTATATCTTCATGAAACTTTTTCTCAATCAACGAAATAAACCGTGCAGTTTTGGTGGCGCGCGTTCCTCCGGTGGGATCTCATCTCTTCGTGAGGTCTGGGTAAGTTGTGCGACCCGGACAACTTTCCTCGGTTCTCTCGTCCGGGCTTTCGTGTGTCGGGGTCTGCACTTTTATGGCTATGCGTGCACCCATCACAGTGTTGGTACATGACATCCACGGGCAACTTCAAAGCTCCTGTGAACATGTGATTAACTGAAGTGTTGTGTGTGTGTTGCCCCCCTGCGGTCGTCTTCGGTAACGTTGCTTTCATTCAACCCGTTCCAGCTGTGAGAGCTTCTGTCGTCCCCTCATTCATTATTATTTATCCGCGCTAAGAGAATTTTTATTCACTTTTTTGTCTTTCCATTCAGGGAAATGTAAAGCACGTGCTGCTACGTGTAGAATAGATGGAGGCAACTGCAACTGTCATATTAACATGAATATAAAAAGATTAATTGGTATTGTGTTAAAATCGTTATTGATCATTGATTTATTATTATTATATTCTTATTTATTGTCATTTTTATTAGTCATTAAATGTGACTCTGGAGCTCAAAATAAGTTTTATGTTACAAAAGTATTTTGAGCAAGAGCCAAAAATACATTGTATGGGTCAAAAATATAGATTTTTCTTTCATGTCAAAATCATTAGACTACTATTTTAGGTAAAGATCATGCTCCATGAAGATATTTTGTGAATTTCCTACTGTAAATATACTACTGGTCAAAAGTTTGGGGTCGTTTATTTATGTTTTTTTTTTTTATTCTGTCCATCAAGGTGGCATTTATTAGATGTAAAAAAAAATAGTTAAATACTTTATTAAATATTTATTTATATCTTATTATACGTAGTTTTAAATTAAATTAGTCAAGTCATTATTGCTTTTATTATTATTATCATTAATAATAATTATTATTATTTTAATAATAATATAAATAATAATAATGATAATAGGAAATATTACAGTGATTTCTAAAGGATCATGTGACTTAAGACTGGAGTAATGAAGCTGAAAATTCATCATTAAAAATCACTGAAGTAAATTATTAAATTACATTATAAACTATGTTTTGAACAGTTCTTTTTTAGTGCAATAACATTTCACAATGTTTCTATTTGTTCTGTATTTTTTATTAAATAAATGCAGCCTTGGTGAGCAGGAGAAGCTTATTTTAAAACATTTTAAAATCCTGCTGACCTTAAACTTTTGACCGGTTATGTTTATTAAAACTACATTTATGATTAGAAATATGCGTTACTAATAACATCAATTTAATTTTTTTTTCTGAATCCTAAGATTATTATTCATTAATTAATTAATTCATTCATTCATTCATTAATTTTCTCTTCGGCTCAGTCCCTTTATTAATCTGGGGTCACCACAGCGGAATAAACCGCCAACTTATCCAGCATATGTTTTACGCAGCAGATGCCCTTCCAGCTGCAACCCATCACTGGGAAACATCAATACGCACTTATTCACACTCATACATTACTGACAATTTAGCTTACCTAATTCATCTGTACCGCATGTCTTTGGACTGTGGGGGAAACCGGAGCACCCGGAGGAAACCCACGCAAAAACAGGGAGAACATGCAAACTCCACACAGAAATGCCAACTGACCCAGCTGAGGCTCGAACCAGCGACCTTCTTACTGTGAGGCGACAGCACTACCTACTGCACCACAGCATCGTCCAAAAATAGTTGTATCTCAGCCAAATATTTTCCTATCCTAATAAACATAAAACATTCATTCATTCATTCATTCATTTTCTTTTCAACTTAGTCCCTTTATCAATCAGGGGTCGCCACAGTGGAATCAACCACCAACTTATCCAACATATGTTTTACTCAACAGATGCCCTTCCAGCTGCAACCCATCACTGGGAAACACCCCAGAAATGTCAACTGACCCAGCTCGGGCTCGAACCAGCGACTGTCTTGCTGTGAGGTGATCGTGCTACCAAGTGCACCACATGTGACACCCAAAACACACATCAATAGAAAACTATTTTCATTATGTTCTTTCCAGGAGTTGACATTTCTGCAGTTTCTGTTAAAAGAATGGCAAAACCACAACCTTTTATTTGCCCACCTTATTAAATGGTATCTATTGTATCTCGTGGGTCATGGTGAGATTAACTTATTTGACCTTTTTCCACCTTTAGAGGAAACATTCTGCTAGATGTACATTAGTGACATAATGGAAACGTCTGTGTGTACTTAACTAATCAAACATAACAGCGGTTGCTGACACAGGAAGATGTATTTGCTTCAGCCTATACATCATTATAAAGTTCTTTGTGTGATCCGGGCACATCTGAAAGACTCTCTCCTATCTACAATGGGCTAAGAGAATGCAGACTCCATTGTGCTGCACTCGGCACTCAGACCTGGACATTAAGAACACTTATGCTCAAATGCTATTTGTTACTTTATCTAAGCATTCAATACTACCATACCCTGTAAGTTAATTATCAAACTTAGATACCTAGACATTAATATCTCAATCTGCAACTGGGTTATGGACTTTCTGACAAACAGACTCCAGAATGTTAGATCAGGTCACATCTGCACCACTACCGTCATAACAGCCCAACACTGGTGTACCACAGGGCTGCGAGCTAAACCCCTTCCTCTACTTCCTCTTTACCCAAGACTGCAGATTCATGTGTAAATGTAACATTGTCAACTGTCAACATTGCCAAATTTACATTGTCTGTATTTTGCACTGTCTGTATTTTGCACTGTCGCTGTATTTGCACTGTCTGTAGCCAGCACCTAAGCTTTTCACTCTTCACAGCACATGTGCTGCTGCTGATAATGTGACAATAAAAGTGATTTGATTTGATTTGATTTGAACACCGTAATTTAGTTGGCAGATGATACTATGGTGATCGGTCTGGTCAGCAACAACGATGAGACAACAAAATCTATACTATAAGGAGGAGATACAACATCTGGTACTTGGACACAATAATCTGCTCCTTAACACCACGCAGATCAAGCTTTCTGTGGACTTCAGAAAGGTAAGAAGAGGCTCTCATGATCCCATCCATATCAATGGGATGACCCCATTTTAGAGGCCTACCATGTCCTTCAGCCTGGCCAAGAAGGCTCACTAGCACCTTTTCTTCTTAAGACAACTAAAGAAGAACCAGTTGTCCTCAACCATCCTAGTGAGCATCTATCAATGCACTATAGAGAGCATAACCAATTGTGTCACAGTATGGTATGTGAACTGCACTGATGCTGAGCATAAGGCACTGGAGCGGGTGGTGAAAACTGCCCAGAATAGCATCACAGGGACTCATTGAGAACATGCAGAGCCATTAAGACTGTCCAGAAGAAACACTGTCTGCGTTGAGTATGCAGTTTTCCTAAGGACTCCGCTAACCTGGTGCTTCAAGTTCCCCTGGACAAGAACCAGCAAACTGAGAAATAGCTATTTTTCCCAGAGCTGTCTCCCTATTGAACACTAAGTCTTTTGCCCACCTCATACACCCCTACACTCTCATCATAACCATTTCCCTATTCAATTTTGCACACCTAATAAAGCACATAATCATTGCACTTCACTGCACATATCCATTTGTAAATGTACATATCCACTGCACAATCATTCATTTTCCTTCGCTTAGTCCCTTATTTTTCAGGGGTCACCATAGTGGAATGAACCACCAACTATTCTAGCATATGTTTTAAGCAGTGGATGCCATTCCAGCTGCAACCCAACACTGAAAAACACCCATACACTCTTGCATTCACACAAACACTCATACACTAAGGCCAATTTTGTTTACCCAATGCACCTCTATTGCTTATCTTTGGACTGTGAGGGAAACCTGAGCACCTTGAATAAACCTACACGAATATGGGGAGAACATGCAAACTCCGCACAGAAATACCAGCTGGCCCCGCCGGGACTCAAAACAGTGACCTTCTAACTGTGAGGGGACAGTGCTAACCACTGAGCCACTGTGCCACCCACCACTTTACATATACATTTGTAAATGTATGGTATACATATCTACATATCTAGCAAATTACAACCTGTATATTATGCTCATATCTATCTGCATATTCCTGATTATTAACAGTAACATGTGCAATTTGTTTTTCTATTTGTAAATCTCTGAGTTAATACAACTTTTATATGTTATTCATCCATCTGTAAATATTACCCATAGTTTTCTATAATTACACTTATAACTTGTACCTATACTTGCTGCGACTGCACTCCTGATTAGCCCTAAACCTAGCATTTTGTTGAATTGTACTTGTTCATGTGTTATGACAACCAAGTTGAATCAATATCAGTCAATATCAATAACATTGGATCATTCTCTGGAGGTTCTCTTAATTCTTGATTTATTTTTTATTACTATTGTTATTATTTTATTATATTATTTTATTATTATTATTATTATTTTATTATAATATAATTTTTGCTACGCTGTACATGTAATGGTGGGATTTTTATCAATACTACTTAATAAAAAACTGCATTAAAAACCCATGGTTTTTATTTTAATTGTATTGTTATTGCTGTTGTTATTTACAATTTACATAATAGACATTAAATAGTAAGATCATCAAATGTAGCATGTATGACATTACATTGCACATCTTGGGTAAAAAAAAAGAAAAATGAAAGTGCACACATTTTATCCAAAATGTGCCTTTGTTGGCAATACCATGAATGCAGTTCCATTCAAGTTACACTGAGAGGTAAATTCTGTGAAGATTTCAAAGTGAATGTCTTTTATTTTTTTTTGAGATAAACTAGAGCTGTGAAAGTCTTAATGGGTTTAAGACATGCAATTATTCAAATGCTTAAGAATTTTTTTTTTCTGACTGAAGCATGTAAAATTACAGTACATCATTAATGTAATTTACGGCATACTGTTAGATGATCCTAATGATTGAATGCTATCACACTGAGCATTTAATCATGCATCACGCTGCGTGAAATACATTGAGCACAGAGTAAAAACATGGCCACAATGTGCTGTGTGCCGCCACATGTAATGTATAGGCAAATTTTATATCTCAAAAGAATATAGCATCATCTCCTTAGTAATGTTCTGATGAATAGGGATTTTAATCAAGTCATCGTAAAAAAGTAATGGAAACATATGCTTTTTTTCTATTTAATCTATTGATATTAAGTACAACTTAATAT